TTCGTTAGTGCAGGTTCCTTTTGCACAAGCTTGAGATAGACACTCTACAGCAAACCGATAACCATAGTCACGCAAACCACTCGACGATCAAGAAAGTCTCTATCAGCCAGTTGACAGAAAACACGAAACCAAAGACCACTCGAGATTTCTAAGAACCAACCTGAAGGACTACACTACCAGTACGAGAGAGAACGTTAGGAACTTCGGAATGGCGATCACGCCAGTGATGATCTTGCCATAGAAGTACACTATGTTCTAAGTACTGAAAAGCTCTACCCTTCCGAGAGCATAGGACCATCCGCAAATCCTCATGGAGACATGGTCCAACCCTTTTCAGGCCGCTACTACCTTCGGATATGCCACAAGATTCACACCCGATCGATCCACTTCTTACACTTGATACGTGATTTCCCGACAAAACTTTTCGTACCTCACCCATCCTGATAGAAACCATTGAGGACCCTGACTTCATAGATACACCAGTCGGAACCCGCTAGCTACACGAGACGGAATTCGCATCCCGTACGTGAAGGTCTGTTGGGATGGTAAACACAGATTAGAGTTCACTTGGGAATGCGAGGACAAACACATAGGAAGTATTCCCTTACCTTTACTTGGCCATTCATACCTACTTCCTTGCCTAGACCTGAATTTCGAGACGAAATTCCCTCTAACGGGGGGATGATGTGACAACCCAAGTTGTCCCGTTACATTTCCCCGTTACCGTTAACGAAATATTCCACTGTATAAAAGTTCCGTTAATTAGAGGGCGTCAATTTAATAAACATTCCATTTGGTTACATTTAACATGCCGTTAAGTCGTGATAAAAGGAAATAAAAACACAGGACACACATTTCCAGTTATTTAGAAAATGTTAAGTTTTATAGTTACGACCACTAAATCGGGTGCAACCAAAAGCCCCGTTTAACGGCAGTATCGGGTAAAATTCCACTGAGCCCCGACTCGAAAACCTATATAAAGGTGAGTGGAGTCCATTGGAGACTTTTTACACACTCTCTCTATACTCTCTCTCTAGACTCGTTTTCGCCCCGAATCCGCAACCAAACGTTTCCAAATTGTAAGTCCGCTTACCCTAGCTTATTCTAAACATTATGATTTGTGTTTATAGCTAAAAATCTGGACTTAGAAGCTGTTAGAATGGAGTTTACGGCCTAAGCCCCTCCTTAGGCCGTAAACCCCTTAAAATGTGGCCAAAATGACCCAAACTTGACCCTTTAAGCCTAGGAACCAATTAAGGAACTTGTCTTGGAGTGTTTAATCATAAAAACACAATGATTTAAGGCATAAAAGTGAGTTTACGGCCCAAGCACATGCTTAGGCCGTAAACCCCTCAAAACCTTGTCAAAATGCCTCTAAAACACTCCCAAACCACACTAGGGCTTAATACATAAATTAAGGGCTTATTCCTTTGGGTTTAAATCACTTGAACACATTAAAATGAAGGATAAAAAGGAGTTTACGGCCCAGGTCTATACCAAGACCGTAAACTCCCCAAAACATGCCCAAAATGTGGTTTTTGCTCCCCAAATGACCTTAGGCTATTTCTATAAAATGCTAGGAAGGATTTAAGGAATTAAACTCATGAAATGGTGGGGTAAAAAGGAGTTTACGGCCCAAGCTAGTGTCTAGGCCGTAAACTCCCCAAAACACATGCAGATGTTAGATTTAATTCCCCAAAATAGCATCACACTTCATTAGAAATTGCTAGAAAGGTATTAGAGGCTTGAAACTTCACAAAACTCTAAGGGTGAGAGTTTACGGCCGTAAACTCTCTTAGGAGTGTCCCTAGGCCGTAAACTCCAAGTTAATGCCCTTAGGAGCCTCAAATCCACTCATGCCTTTTAGGAAAAGTGCTTGGAATAATTCTATGATGCTAGTCCTTGGGCCCTTAGAAGCCTTAAAACACCCTAGAACCCATCACCATGAGTTTACGGCCGTAAACTCATGGTGAGTAGTCCTTGGGCCGTAAACTATGTAGTAAGGGTTATTCTTGGATAGTAAGCTCCATTTCTTAGCCACACACACCCTTAAACGCTACCCGGGACACCCAAACACTTAGCCAAAGTGTTTCCGCTCCTGTGAGCGCGTATATTTGTTTAATTAGTATTAAATATGCTAATTGTATGTGAACATATGTTATCATATGTTAAATAGGTCATTGAGTGTGTTCAAGTCCTTGTGTGACACCGAACGCCCAAACGACACCTTCGTCGGACCTACTTACACCAGGTGAGTTCATACCCCTGAATGAACCTTTTAAAATGCTTTTAAATGTTTTTATAGGGGGGATTACAAGTTAAACATGCCAGTTATCATATCAATCACATGTGATTGATAACCCGCATGCACAAGATTTTACCGCTGAACACTGTTTTACCAAGTAGGACACTATAAATGGCTTTCCAAAAAGGGTTTTTCACTTGTTCAAGTTCTTACTTTTATTGCTTATCAAAGATCCATTTTCAAACTGATTTATAAAAGATTCCCAAAGATTTCTAAAGGTTTTCACACTTATTTAATCAAAGAATACAAATGCGATTTTCCTGAGTAATAAGGTTTTCCAAGGTTTTCATGAATGCTTTTACTTGTTAGTTACTACTGCTTCACTTTTACTTATTTTAAATTCCTACTCGATAATGTTTTCACTTCACAATTCGCTTATACCGGATTTTGTCTCTATATCGCTTATACTTGTAGCCTCTTATACTTGATGGACGTTCTTACATCACTTATTGTTGTCTCTGCTTTGTAATACACTTATACTTGGTAAACTTATACTTCACGATTCGATTATCCCACCCTGTACGCTTATACTTCACGTCTCGGATGATCCACTGTACACTTATACTTCACGTCTCGGATGATCCACTGTACGCTTATACTTCACATCTCGGATGATCCACTGTACGCTTATACTTCACGACTCAGATATTTCACTGTACGCTTATACTTCACGACTCGGATATTTCACTGTACACTTATACTTCACTATATGATTCCACTTAATACACACTCAAGCATAGATAGATGTATGTTTATGCTTGTATAGATGTATACAAATAATGATTGAAGGACTCAGGAAGGCTTGTCCGCCCTATTTCCTTTTCTTCGTTTAGATGTGTTCTGGTGGGATCGAATGTTCATCTAAAAGTCGTTCGATTCATCAGTTATATATTATGTACACGAGCATAGACATACGAGTTTTCTTCAGTCAATTCAGTTAAGAGTCTCTACCTCTAGGTCAGCACTTACATTAGCAACCCACTACCCACTGTTTGGAAGTCATTACCCACTATTTGGGATGCATCTTCGGGACACGGCCTCCTCCGTCGTCTAGTTGGTAACCAGAGTCTCCTGTAGGGAGAGCGGACATTGTGTGTATAGATCTATACGGGATTGACACCCCCGCACCCTGACTGCTAGCTACAGTCCACGGCTCACCAAGCCAAGGGGTGACAAATGTCACATTATATAGACGCTTGTAGGGCGTCTGGTACTCTAGTGTCGGTTAGTATGGTTACGAGTATCCCGGGTTACCTTATAATTCATGGCTTTAAGGTAACGATATTTCGCCAGCCATTTACACTGTATGCTGGTAACTCATTTTCAGAGTCACACTGTTTTTGACCTCACAAGACGTATCTTTCATTTGATGTTGTCTGGGGTCTGCCTCCACTGTATTCACAGAGTCCACCGTATTCACTGTGTTCACTGTTTTAGACCTCGCCAGACGTATCTTTCAATTGATATCGTCTGTGGTCTGTATTCATTGTTTGGACCTTACTAGTTGTACCTTGCATTTGGTACTTTTTGGGGTCTGTGTCTTCACTTGTTAGACTGAACCAGGCGTGTCGTTCGTTTGATACTTTCCTGGAGTCTTTGGTTCCTTTCCTTAGTCAGCAGTCCTCACTACTGAGGCATATGATATTCCCTGATGTCGTTTTCTTTCCTTAATAATCAAATTCAGTAATTTAATAATGATAGCAACTTAGGGAAAACTACTTTTTTTACCACACATCACTGACCAGTCTTGGTAGAAGTCTGCTTTATTTAAAGAAAATATAGGATTTTCTGGAAAGGACTCTAATACACTGAAACCTCTTAAACTATTACTTTATTAAGTTATTTGAATGAAATGTCACCAAATGCTTATGAACTCACCAGCATTTGTAAAAATGCTGATACTCGCTTTTCAAATAACTTGTAATCTCATGTCAGCAATTAGTCAGGTACATCCCCGGAGCTGTTGATGAAGATAGCCTAGTACCATGCTGCTCTTATTATATTTGTTTGTACACTTTATTATGTTGTAATGTAAACCATGTAAAATTATTCTATTAATGCAATGTTTTGGTGTACTTTGATTACTATAATGCATGTGTTGTGATACTTGACATGACGTCATCCACCCCAGAACGTTTCCGCCGTTCCGGTTTTGGGGTGTGACAAAAAAAGATAACGATTTTAAAAAATCGCAAGTCAAAGAAAAAAACGATTTCAGAGAAATCGAATTCAGAAAAAAAAATCCTTAAAAAAACAACGTAGTTTCCTTATCGGCTTATCCTTATCACATTGACTAATTTAGTTGTTTCGATTCATTCCATCATCATCACTATGAACAAATCAGAATTAACAAAAAAGGATTTCAAAGAAATCGAAATTCACCAATAACAATTTCATTCAAATTACGATTCAATTCAAGGAGTTCTCAAAAATTGCAACTCACATGAATTGGGTTTGATCAGACCTTCAAAAAACTACAAATCCTAACGATTTCAAAGAAAAAACGATTTCTTTCATAGTAAAAACGATATAAGAGATCGCAGGAAAAACAAAGAAGGTTCAGTTGGCTTGCTACTCTGTCCTCTGTTTTTCCTTTCAGAGCACTTCCAAATAAGTCATTGATCTCATGTGTTTTTTCTTTTGTTTCAGTTCGCCTGGTACTGTATCCTCTGTTATATAAATTAATGTGTTGTATTTATAACCTGGTATAAACATAACCTACATCCTCAATTGACCTGCTACTGTAAGTACCATAAACTAAACCATCTTTGTAAAGATTAGATGCAGATGCTACATATACATTGTTAATTGTTGCACCAAATGAGCCATATCCACATCTTTCAACTACAAAACATCATCAAAGAATCATTACAAATTAAGTTATAATCATATATATATGTATGCATGTTTATATATGTTAATTTGAGCTCTCACTTTCTAATCCTTTGTCATCAGAATCTGAGTAGTATGCTGCTCTAGAATGGATGAAAGGGTCATCTAATGTGGCACAACCTGCATGATTTATCATAGAAAAGATCAAAGTCGAAATTATGAAGAGAAAATGAAGTGAAAATGCCATTTTAGGAATATGAAGAAGAGAAGTTGGTTTTGTATGGAAAGAAACAAAGAGTGGTACTTATTTACTGTGAATAAAATGACTCTGTGGTTAGTAGTATTTTCAATGCTTTGATATTTTTGTGTTGAATGAAATTTCTTTGTCACATTGTTTCCTCATCTTAGATATTGAACACCCCTTTGATGAGTTCCTCCTGCATATTTTACTATTTTACTTTTTTCATATGAAAACGAATGGATGATATGAAATTGGGCTGTAATTTTGGGTTAAAAATGAAACTTTGTTTTAATTGTGGATTAAAAATGAAATTTCTTCACAATTTTTTAGTCAAAAATAAAACCGTGCTGCAATTGTCGATTAAAACGAAAGCAGGTTGTCATTTTAGGTTAAAAATGAAACAAGCATTCAACAACATCAAAGCAACAAACATTTGTTGTTTAGCAATTAATCAAGTTTCACCATTCAAACAAAATTTAAATCAAAATTAACGCTATCATAACAAAACCATCAAAAATTTTGAACATTACACAATATTAAAAATACTCACATCATAAAACTAGACTTAACATACTTAGTTTTAAACAAGATAAAAAGAAAAGTTCAACACATAAGAACAATCTTGTCTCATTCCCACCCGGTTGCACCTACACCTTCAGCTTATGGTAGAAGAGTAGCAACAGCCTCCCACCCATCACCACCACTTAGCTGAGATGATTAAAAAACCAAAAAATATAATTATAAAAATAAAAATTACATCTTTAAAGTTCAAACCATGACAAAATCAACTGAATTATTATCAACCCTTACCCCCAGCCCCTTGTTGGACGATTTTGCCCCTGTCCCAAACATGTTAAACTGCAATATGTAATGTTCTGGGTACTGTTGGATTAATATAAACATAAGTTTGATGGGTTTTCTCCTTGTTGGACAATTTTACCCCTGTCCCAAAAAATCGAATTCAACCTTGATGGGTTTTCCTCACATGATCACTAAATAATATTGTATCTATTTCTCGTGCATACCTATATGAAAAACCAATTTTATTATATTTATTTATTGTACTTTATAAACAACATTTTCTTATCACCAACCTCGCATAAAAAGCTATGTAATCATATGGATAATAACCAAGAAATGTGATTATAATTAAGATATTGGATTATTGATCATATTTTATCCTAATATTTATCTTAAGGATGCAAGTCCTTATTTTTACAGTATCAAAGAACCATAAAAAGCTTACTTTGTTGATCAAGAGATGAATCTTTTGAGAATGCACTGATGGTTGGCCAAGAACATGAAGAATAAGAAGCCTTCAATGACAGATTCAACTGCAAAACAAAAATTAACTCACTAAAATTATAATAAAAAAAAAGTAAAAATAAAAATAATATATGGAAAACCTGATCAAAACACTTTCCTTCCAATTTTGTAGTAACATAGTCACTTAATTCAATCAACACTCAAAATTGCAGTTTTTCACCAAAAGAATCACTGATTCAGTCTTTATGCATATTGAGACAAGACTTCACTAAGGCATTTTATATGTACATTACCAGTGACATTACATTTGAAAAAAAAAATACATAGAAACTAAATACCATAAACCATGGTATCGTTCAAACACCCCAATTTATAGAAATTACCTAATGCCCACCTAAAAAAAAGTGGAGAAGTTGAAATCAAAAAATGCCTTAACTTATTACCTTGTATTGTTTCAACACCCCAATAGATTCGAAATAATGTCATTTGATTTATTAATCTTCATGATTAATATTACTGGGAAGAATTGATGCATAGACTGTGACAACCCCAAATCTATTCCCGTTACAAATCCCGTTTTCACTAACGGAACGTGTCACTATATGTTGTTTCATGTAACATTTGGAATCGTCAATATCCGAATATCTAAATTTATGCATGGCTTGATATTATCATAAGAAATATAACTCGTATGTGTTAACCCCGTTTAACCTAATAGAGTTGTATTACATTTTCAACCACTTCACCCGGGTAAAAAGTTTTAACCCAGTTAACTTTGAACATCGGGTAGCCGTGTATCGGGTGCGAAACCCGAGGCATATGAAATGGGTGTGCACAACATTTGAATACTCTTTTACCACACACCCACACTCTCTCTCTACTTTCTCTCTCTAGACCCGAAATCGACCTCGATTCCGCTAATTTCCGACTTCCAAACGTAAGTACTCATCCTCTATCTTAATCTAGTCGTGTTTCATTGAATTTAAGGGCCAAAATCATGGAAATCAAGGACCATAAAGGAGTTTACGGCCTAAGAAGCTCCTTAGGCCGTAAACCCCCAAAATCATGCCAAAGACCATGTTTTTCCTTTCTTTAAGCTAGTATACTAATTAAGGCATATATCTAGAAGAGTTTGGACACTAAAACACAAGGATTTGACATGTAAAAAGGAGTTTACGGCCCAAGCTTGTGCTTAGGCCGTAAACACCTCAAACACCCCATAAATCTATGTTTAAAGCCCCAAAAACTCTTCTAGGATGTTTGGTAAATTAGACTTGACTCCAAGGAACACTTAAATGCATCAAACAACTCCATTTGAGGACAAAATGAGGAGTTTACGGCCTAGCTTAAGCTTGGGCCGTAAACACCCAAAAAGTTGTGTCAAACAAGTCCCTAAACCACTCAAATGCATGTAAGGAATTTAGCTAAGGCCTTTGGAAGTGTGTTGTACCATTAAACATCTCATTTTGATACCAAATGAAGAGTTTACGGCCAAGGATGTTCTTGGGCCGTAAACTCCCCAAAAATTGATGCCAAATTGTTCCAAACTCACTATAGGGCCTTCTAGGATTTATCTAAGGCATATGAGACCATGTTGTACCATTGAAACAACCATTTGGATGGATTAAATGGAGTTTACGGCCTAAGAACAAGTCTTGGCCGTAAACTCCCCAAAAATGTCACAAATTATGATGTTTAATCCTTCCCTTTTGGTCCAAAACACACACCACTAAATTAAGGAAGTGATATAAGGCCTTATACATACACTTTGGAGTACCACATGAGTTTACGGCCAAGCCTAGGGGGCTTACGGCCGTAAACTCCCAAAGGGTGGCTTTTAGGCCATAAACTCCAAGGGAGTGAGCTCTTAGATCTTTCCGTAAATCATTCATGGCCTTGTACCACTCCCGGGAACCCTCTCTAGACCTAAAAACCCCGAAAATGATGCTAGAATGACCAAATACTATAATGTAAAGCATAAGATGATTAACTTCTTGTAAAATACATATTTCATATGACATTAGGGTCCTAAAAGGTGCTCAAGTGGTTATTTGGTACCAAACGCTCAATCGACACTTTTACCCGATTTACCCGATTCACCCGATTTCCGTGATTTCAGGTGAGTTCATACCCCTTAATGAACCTTTCAAATGTTTTAAATGTTTTAGGGGGGAGATACAAGTTGCTTATAAATGTTTATATAAAGTTTTACAGAACGAACTCCGCGTTACAAGGATTAATCAAATGTGATTCACTACCTTTAGTTCAAATCACATGTGATTTGTCCCTATGCCTTATAAACGGGTTTTACCCTTTTCAAACTATTTTTAAACATTGAGTTAGATTTTAAATGATCTTTTGGAAAAATACTTTTATTAAATCAATTTACTCATAAGATGTAACCACTCTGATATATTTATATAAGTAAGACTTGGAGGACTTAGGACCGATATCTCGCCTTATTTCCTGTTCTTGTTTGATTGTGGGCTTAGGGTAGTAGTTATCCGTCCGACTGTCGTTGATTTCTTAGTTATATAATCTGTATATCAGTGTGGGATACGAATGTTACTGCTTTCACTTAATACTAAAGTCACTAACATGCCAAGAATCATCCCCACTAAGATAACTATAATAGGTATAGTTACGGTTGCTACAACTAGTACTCGCTAAAGTCATTTCTATCTACACTATAATACTCACTATTACTAGACGATACACTAGTAAGAGAATACAATATGGTCAATACTAAAAGATTACTACACTATAAAAGTAGAGAAAACACTAAACAAACAATAATACACTAACCCACTACGAGATACTCTATTCGCTATCCACTACGCCCGGAGTTTTCCAGCAGGGAGACGACTCTACATGTATAGATCTATACGGGGCAGACGCTATTACATCCCGACTGTTAAACTCAGTCCGCGCCGTGCAGGCCCAGGGATGCCACTACTTCACTATACTGTGCATGACTGGGAAGGTCATGGGATCCTCTATTATCCTCACTATTAGTAATATACAAAGAATACACTACAACTACTCTAAAATACTACACTAAATGCTAAACTGCATCCCGAAGTAAGTAAGTATCTATCACTAAAGGAAGCTTGCACCTCTATCATTGATCACAGGCTTAACTTATTCTATCACATTTTTTATTTGGAGATTTGCCAATATACTTTTATAATAAACTATTTCAAAGAAATAAAGAATGCATACTTTTCACAGATTGTCACTTACAATGTATTTTCTGGAAAATATGGGATTTTCTAAGTTGCTATTACTTATGAACTTAAATGATACATTTTTAGCACTAATGTTTTGTATGCAAAAACTCACACTAAACTCTTATGAACTCACCAGCTTTATGCTGATAATCGTTTTCAAAATAACTTGTATCTTCAGGTCAAAGATAGACAGGTACGGGCGCAGCATTTTTGGAGAAGGTGGAGCACACCAGACCCATCTCTTATTTTTGATTTACTTTTGGGTGATTGTTAAACATTACAAAACACACTTGTAATTAAATTCACTATGTAATGCCATGGTTGTATGTTTCTTGTTTCTACTATTATGCAATTGTGACGATACTGTTCGCTACGTCATCCACCCCGAAACGTATTCCGCCGTTATCGGTTTTGGGGTGTGACATAGACGCAAAAAAAAAAAGCTCCGCTAGACTACAGAAGGATTCCGAAATCAGCCAAACTCGTGAACCATAGCAGCTCCGAAATCGATGACGATTCAAAAAAAAAACAAAAAACTCACTGCTTTTGCTAAGGATACGATAGGTTTCATTGTTTGTAAAACTTATTCACGTATCGATTTTCTTTTCCCACAAAAAGGAGTCAAAAACACTAATCAAACGAGACAGTTTTGATTATTGGGTTCCTAATCTTATATACCCTCAAGGTATATTCACATTTATATATATATATATATATATATATATATATATATATATATATATATATATATATATATATAGATATATATATATATATATATATATATATATATATATATATATATATATATATATATATATAGAGTTAGGTTCAAATGTTTTCAACAAATATTGTGTGCCTAAATGCACCAATGAGAATTCAAGAAATAATAAATAATTAAATAAATCAATAAAGGGTATTTTGGACCTTTTGTACTTTTAATTAAGGAAATCATTTAATTGAAATCATATAATTATGGAAATAAAGTTAATATATTTGACCTAATAACCTTATACAGCATATCACATACGCCTCCTCCAACGACGATCGTCTGCTCCTGTCGTTGACTCCTCAAGCGATCCTCCCCTGCTCGCTGCTGTTAGCCATCTCCTCGCCACCAGCCGGAGATCGTTGCAGCCCACCGCAACACTGGAGTTGTCGATTTTTCCTTTGACCGCACAGGTTCGTGTTTGTTCCTACTGTCTGCATTTGTCTTTCTCTGTCTGCTTTCATTCGTGTTTTTTTCCTTGCTGTCGATTTGTGCTTCTGTCGATCTTAATTTTTTCCCTGTTTTCTGTATCTGTTAGATTAGTTTTTTGGTTCTCTGAATTTTCAATCAATATTTATACTAAATTGAATTGGAACTCAAAAAAACGTATACTGAATTGATTCCATATACAAAATGTAGAGATTAAAATCTAATATGTTAAGATTTGTATTTCATGTTTCTCTTTTTTTTTGACAAAGGAGTTGTCGATTTTTTGGTATCTGTTTTCTGGTTCATGATATGAATTTTCCTTGCTGTCGATTTTTTTGATTTGAAGTTGAATGTGAAATGAGAACTGATTTTGAATGAAATACCTTTGAATGTGTAGTTTACCTTTGAATGTGAAATGAAAACTGATTACAAAGGCCAATTGTGTATGTGTTTATTCTTCAATTTTCTATTGAACCTAGATGTTATTCTTAAGATGCTAATATGATAACTGGAACAATATAGTTATAGTTATATTCTATTTGTAGAAATTATAGTTATATAGATGTATTCTGTTAGAATGTTTGAGAATATTTGTCAACAACAAGAAATTATAATTTATATAGATGTATTCTGTTAGAATGTTTGAGAATAATTTTCAACAACAAGTACATTCTGTCAGAATTTATAGTTTTTATTCTCTTAGAATGCATTGAATTTTTTAATTTTTGAAACTTGATTATGTTTTCTTTGTGGATTTAGGTTTTGAAGAGGCTAACATTGATGTGGAGAACGAAGAAAACATAGAGAAGGAGAGTGTATTATACCAGAATTTGTTATGCTACAATGTATAAAGTGTTGCTAAAAATAATATTCT